ATGCCATGCGTCTGTGACAGTAGCCTCTTTTATAAGACAGACCATCGCGTCATTACCGAGTGATAAATCTGAATTTGTGTGTCGTAAACGCGGCAAGGAGCAAAGGGGAAAGGTGATAAAACTCGTTTCTGATGCGCTTAGCCTCGTAGTAATATCGCCGCATGAGCCCCTCGCCTCTGATGGCTAAACGTGTGTCAGCCCCGCTAATCCCCGCTTGCACTCAATCTCCGCTTCATAAATCAGAGACTAACCAGAAAGGTTCTCAGCTGCTTTTTAGTCACATCCCACCCTCACCACGCCCACTTTCTGCCATAAATGGTCAATGCAAAGTGCCTTGTGGATCTCACAAGTAGTGACGTCTACTGTGCGCCGAGTGCCAGCCGGAAGGGATATAAACACAGATAAACATGGCCTCTCACTAATATCTTTCAACCATCTACAACATGGCAAACTGGAGGGACGTGGAGACCATGGAGCTTCTGGCCGTGCCAGCAGACGACCAGATTAGTCGCCTTTTTACGGGGACGGTGAGAGACAGTCAGCTGTTCGACAGAGTGGTGAAAACACTGGCTGAGCGGGGTGTCAAGCGGGACAAAAAGCAGGTCACATCAAAGCTAAAGGTCCTGTAAAGACAGCGAGTGTGAGCGTCCTGTCACTGTGGCCCGATTGATCATGCACCCTGGCTACTTGGACAAGGGAGATCTCCGTTTGGCTGACTGGTTAGCATGCGTGACTTTCACCTGGGAGTCTGGGGATCGAATCTCGATTGGACCATTTTTCTTACATCCACCACAGATCTCTCTGAAGAATTCATAACAATCAATGACGGCTTCAGCAACGCTGTACCACTCCGTGGATTTTCTCTTATTTGTTTTGCAAAAGCACTTCCTTTCATTTCTCCACCTCACCCACAGGTACCTCCACTTCTGCTTGTGAAATAGTGCTTCCTTGATCTGCGGTTAATGGTGGAGCGCTGCAACAGCCGGCTCATGTATATGCATGAGATCCACAAGGCATTTTGCATTGACCATTTATGGCAGTAAGTGGGCTTGGTGAGGGCGGGGTGTGACTAAAAAGCAGCTGAGAAACATTCTCATTAGTCTCTGATTTATGAAGCGGAGATTGCGTGCAGCTGTGCGTCCTCCATGTTTGATAGATCACAAACCTGCTTGGCGTGAGTACATTTTTTTGCTGAGTTTAAGTACGTTTTAGTAAGGATTCTACGCAGTGTTTGATAAATGAGACCCCTGGGCTTCAACAGAGCTGAAAAAGCAGTTTAACAGATTTGTATTACTGTTGTTTTTTCAGATCTTTTGTTTTTGATGGCTCCTTAAGGAATCAGATCAAACATTTGCAGATTAGCTGCTAAAAAAAACAAGCTAACAGCTAGTTGGGCTAATCCCAACCGAGATTACTTTGATTTTACAACTTTAATCTGAACAGATTCATTGTGAGTGTCCTGAATTCTTTTCTACAAACCTTTGTACTCTGATCAGTTTTGCTTTATATGTTATTTGCTTAATTTTCTACGCATACCTGGAATCAAATAGCAGGGATGGTGGCTAGCGGCAGCTAGCTGTTCTATTTCCTGTGCAACTTTCCTGCTAGAATATCGTAATAAGTTAGGATGCATGAGAGACACGTATCGTGGGAGGCGGGATGTCCGCATGGCCTCAGCAGTGTGTCCCTTTCCACCTGGAGCGTTTCAGAAGTTTTAGTAGTGAAAGCGTTCCGGTTCCATGCAGCTGTTCACATGAGAACTTCAAGTGTGATTCCGGTAGGTCACGTGAGGAACAAGGAGAAGGATGGCAGCAAGAGTCCAAGAATGTCTGCGGGTTATCTTCTGCTCTTTGTACCTCGGCCACAGAGGCATCAAAGGTAATAACACATACATTTTTACTTGTTAAACCATTGAAACGTATGCATATGTCTTTTATTTAGAAAATTACTGGACGTTGTACACTGCTGCCATGTTTGATTTCTGGGCCGATGCCAACTGCTGAACTTGAAGCATTCTGGAAGCGTAAAAAAAAAGTAGACCCAAAGCGACGCAACACTACGCTTCTGTGATGCGTCCAAAGGGCCGGTGAAATACACCCATCCAGTATAACGGCAGCTATTAGCAAAGTACTCTTCACAAGAATTAGGCAATGCTTATGCATCCGGTGGAAAGCCAAGATTTCCCTGTAATGCAATGGCACAGATTTTTCATGAACTGTCATGACATTTGAAATGTTCTGAGTTGGTGGCTCCACACGGGCTTCTCAGAACCACCTGTCAAAATGAAGCCAACAAAGAAGTCGCAAAAATTTCAGTTCCCCCCACATCCACTAGGGGCCAGAAAGGAGCAAGTTCCCATTCACTCCCATGTTTAAAACTTCACAGCAGAAATAAACTTGTTTACAGCCTGACTCAAAAAACTCTTTTGGTTTAGTAGGTTGGGTTTACCATCATGACAACTCTGAGGGGGTGATTGACAGGTAGCACATAGGCCTTCAGGGCCAATGGTTCCGCTGTCATGATGGGACCACAGGGTTCAGTGCTTGGACCAATTCTTTTTACCATATATATGCTCCTAATTGGTAAAATCATTAGACAGCATGGGATAAACGTTCACTGTTATGCTGACAATACTCAGTTATATTTATCCATTAACCCTGATGAACCTAATCGGTTGGGTAGATTACAGGCTTGTCTTGAGGACATAAAAAATTGGATGACTCTAAACTTTTTGCTTTTAAATCAAGACAAGACGGAAGTTCTCATCTTTGGACCAGAAATCCAGAAAAGGAAATTGCTTAGCCAGTCGCCTGACCTGAATGGCATTACATTAATCTCTGAGAACAAAGTAAGGAACCTTGGTGTTATCTTTGACCAGGACATGTCATTCAAATCCCAGGTTTCACAAGTTTGTCGGATTTCCTTTTTCCACCTTCGGAATATTGCTAAGATTAGAAGCATCCTTTCCAGGAGTGATGCTGAAAAACTAGTTCATGCATTTATTACATCAAGACTGGATTACTGTAATCCATTACTCTCAGGAAGTCCACAGAATGTAGTTAAAAGTCTTCAGCTTGTCCAAAATGCTGCAGCTAGAGTTCTGATGAGAATTAAAAAGAGAGATCATATCTCTCCTGTCTTAGCTTCCCTACATTGGCTACCTGTTAAACTCAGAATAGATTTTAAGATCCTTCTTCTCACATATAAAGCTCTTAATAATCAAGCTCCATCATACATCAGTAATCTGATTGTTCCATACGTTCCTAACCGAGCACTTCGCTCTCAGACTGCAGGTCTACTGGTGGTTCCCAGAATATCTAAAATTAGGATGGGAGGCAGATCTTTTAGTTATCAGGCTCCTCTCCTGTGGAACCAGCTCCCAGCTTTAGTCCGTGAGGCAGACACCTTGTCTACTTTTAAGAATAGGCTTAAAACATTTTTATTTGATAGGGCCTATGGTTAAAATCTGATGTTAGCCTAAATCTGGACAAGTGGGGGAGTAGAGGGAGGTGGAGTCTACAGTCGGTAAAGGGTTAACCCTAACCCACACTGCTGCTAACCACTTAAACAATCTCCCTCTCCTGATAATAACTTTTTGTTTTCCTTGACGTTGGATGTGCTACTACTAGTTTACCCGTTTAATTATAGATCCACTAGGATAAATACAATAAAGTTTATCTCTCGCCAAATAGAATATTAACTAAGAAATCACAATGTAACCATAGACACATTACTTTGTCTTTGTGTGTGTGTGTGTGTGTGTGTGTGTGTGTGTGTGTGTGTGTGTGTGTGTGTGTGTGTGTGTGTGTGTGTGTGTGTGTGTGTGTGTGTGTGTGTGTGTGTGTGTGTGTGTGCTCTGTCTTCTCGATCCCCAGTGAGTCGTGGAGGATGGCTGCTTATACTGAGCCAGGATTCTCTGGAGGTTTCTTCCTGTTAAAAGGGAGTTTTCCTCTCCACTGTCGCTGCATGCTTGCTTAGTATGAGGATTGCTGTATAGACACTGACACTAGTCAGTGACTTGATGCAGTTTGCTGGGTTCCTTATATAGGAAACTTTATTCCTGATTGTCTTGGGCGTGTTCTTGCTGTGTCGTGTCTCTACTTCCAGGCTGTAGTTCTTTTTTAAAACACAGAGCAGTTTAGTGACCTGTTTTCCCGCTACGTTTCGTTTACGGCTGCAGACTTCCTCAGGCTGACGCTGATGGCAGCGTCACTTCCCTCTCCGTTTATCCGCGGGCAGCAGAGGACGTTGTCGCCCTCTGCTGCCCGCTCTCCCCTCTCTGATTGGCTTAATGAACTGACCTGTATTGGAACGTTTACTATGTGAAGTGATTTGAGACGACGCTTGTCGTTATTTGGCGCTTTATAAATAAACTTGAATTGAATTGAATTAATTGTGGAGATAAAACATCAACATTGCAGATAAAATGAAGGCAATGGTGGGGTTGTGTTGCTGTTATCCAATCGGAGGCAATTTGTCCAAATATCAGGAAATTAGACCTGTTGTCTGAAGCTCAGCTCCGATGTGACTCACTTTTAGTTCCTGAAGCTTGGGTCAAATACAGGCCCGGGCTTGTATTAGAGGATTTATGGTATTTGACAAACCGGCAAACTGACTTTAGATTGGTATAGGACTTCGACTTAGAAAGAGTGACTATTAATCAGGACTGCTCCCATTTTGTGTTTTGGTTAAGACTATTTCAGCTTGTATCCCAGCGGGGGGCTGTACTTTATGTTAAACCATTTTCCTTTATAGATTGCTCCTTTCGGTCCTCCTTTGTTTGTTTAATAAAGCCCTTTGTTTGAGCGACACCTTCCTCAATTATTATTAACCACACACACCTTTTCCTTACTCCCTCCACCACATCTCTCCTAGCGGGCTGAGGGACGTAAGAGATGTAGTAATTTAGAAGAAAAAATACTACAACAATGTAATTTCCTCATTGTCAGAGCTACAGATAAGCTAACAATTCTCTTGTCCAAAAAATCTTTCTAGTTTACCTCATCGCTGTTCCCAGCAACAAACAAGTCCCGGCAAAGTTGTCTGTTTTTTTCCATGACTCCCATCAGGCCATAAAGCTGTAATCCCTCACGGAGCTGGCGAAGCATTAAAGTTCGTCTTGCAGCTGAGTGCAGCATAATTGCCCTAAATGTAACAGATAACAAAAGCAAATAATGACTTACATTCACATACACAGATCCGTATATGATAAATGGCGTGTATTTAAATAGCCCTTTTGTGACTCTGAGGACTTCAGAACCCTTTACCTAACCACTCATTCATCCATTCACACAATGATGGTGATGAGCTACATTGTAGCCAAAGCTGCCCTGGGGCACACTGACAGAGAGGCTGTCGAGCACAGGTACCATCAGTCCATCAGACAGCCACCAGCAGGCAAAATTAGTGAAGTGTCTTGTCACAACAGCTGACACTAACACCGCTTGTGTTCAAACCGGCAACCTACCAGCCACAAGGTGAAGTCCTAAACCCTGAGACACCTTCAGCTTTCACGCACACAAAAAATTTTACATGTTATGATTGTGTCTAAAATTTTGAAAGATGTATCCTCTGTATATTCCATTTCAATTATTTCTGCAGAAAACCCTTTTAGTTAAATAAGTGATGCAAATATGAGGTTAGAAGATGGCTAGAGCGGAAAGGTCACAATATAATCAACATTTTCATTTTGGGGGACCATAAAGTTTCTCACATACAGAAAAAAATTCATTATACTTATTCAGCACAGCATGTTGCTGTACAGAGAACTTGTGTCCAAAGTGTACCATTTGGGATAGTAGTGGCAACTCGGCTGATGCCACAACTATATCCTTAAATCAACCTCCACACATGATAAGAAACACAACATATGCCCTTTAAATTATGATGTACAAGGAATTAATATACCTCTTTATTTTGTCTTTGTTGTCCTTATTAATTGGTCCCGTGTAACCACAGTTGATGATTTGCTCGGTGCAAGATGATAAATCCTCCACTTCTTCAACCTGGAGTTAAGGGCAGTAATAAATACAGAATTATACATAATTATACCAAATTCCATAATTTTTTATATCTAATCTGTTTGCACTGTGCATATATTAACAGACTTGTCAACTTTATCCCCTTTAAGTGTAAAGTCCCAGCAGTTGTGACACACACTGTTGTGTGGTGAAATAACATATCCGCATTGTAACCATCCTTTGAGAGCGGTGAGCTGCAGACACAGGCACCGTGCTCTAGAACTATTTAGTTGTTTACCCACCCAGTCAAACTCCTTAATGCTTCAAACGGGGACGTATTGGGTTCCATTTTGAGTCTTTGGTATGACCTGACTGTGGATTTGAACTCACAATCTCCCAGTCTCAGGGCAGACACTCATACCACTAGGCCACTGCGCTGATTGGCACTTATATTTCTCTAATCATTCATGTTGGACTTTAAAAAAATAATTATCATTACATCATAGAATTAGTCACCTGGGTGTGATACAAATGGCAGCCCTTACGAAAAGATGGGACAAATACTAAGAAAAAAATATTTCAAAGGGGATACAAAAAGTTTAAGTATAATGTTATAGTATTAAAAGTGTAAGTATAGTAATACAAGTGATTTCTTAATTATTGTTCAACATAAACCAAAACCAGCTTTTAATCTACCTACAGCATCATTTTCTAAAATAAATGCATTTCTTGTGCAACACACCATCTGGATTAATGAAGACAACTCTTGGTCATGCACATCCTTCACATCAACTGTTTCCAGATTTCCAGTTAAAAGGAAATCATAGCACCATTCTTGTAAGATCTTTGGTGCTGGGCCACCTTGAGCTAAGCTCACAGCAAATATTTCACCAGCAGCACTGAAAAGACAAGAAATGCACTAGTTTGAGTACAGTGCGATTTAAAAGCATGTCTGTAGATGGTGCACTGTGTAATAGTATGATACTGAGTTGTACCGGAACAGCCTGTTATCCAGGTCATTGATGGAGTATTTGGGCATTTTGCCTTTTCCATCTTCACCTTCAAATAGTCTGGTTTCAATACCAGCAATCATTTCTAGGAAATTAGTTAAATAAAGATAGGTTAGGTAGCCACTGTCAACACTCAGTGAAGATGTTGCTGAAAACATATGAATTACTTTCATGTTGACTATGGACAAATATATTAACTAACCTGTAAGAAATTCTTTCCGCAGAGCACCTGTGTCAACCCCTGCCTCTCCCATGAAAGTTACCTTCAAAACATTTTGTGGTGAACTGTGCTTCTGCCGCTGCCAAAGCATTAGTCCACGCTCTATGAGATTAGTTCTGGACACACAAAGGCAGAACTCTTTGCTCGCATCAACCTGAGCTGCCAGCCATCGTAGCACATCCTCTTCACTGTTAAGACAACAAGAACATTTTTTCAGGACAATTAAACAATAATTCTGACAAGTTTATGAACAAAAGAACAATTACATACATTTGAGGTTCTTGCACACAAACCATATTATACTGCAGTGGCAGAAAAAAGTAACACAGCCAAACTCCTCGTAAGACTGTACCCTTTTTAACCCTGCTGCCAATGATCTCAAAAAGAGAACTTGTGGGGAATTGCAATGTGTTGATATAAACTAATCCAGCATAAGGAAAGAAGTACAATATACTGACAAAAATATTTCAACAAAGATTTTTGTCAGTAGCAGCTGTAAGATCTCTTTTCCATAATCAAAAGTAGGGTGAAAATATCATGTACCAGGACATTTCTTCATTCTGAAGCAGTTGTAACCCAACTGGACTGGCAGAGTCATAGGAGGCAGGACTGTAAAAAGAAAAATAAAGATAGAAGAACATAGTTAAGAAAGCTGATACGTTATTGAAATAATATGAATTACTCAAATCCTAGTTTTACTTAACCGAAAATATAATGTACTGGAGAATATAAATGGGCATGCATTTCTAACTCACTTTTAAGGGTTGGGACCATAGACTGTATATAGAAGACAGACTAATACACACTGCCACCTGTAGAGGTTTCTGAAGAGCTGAAGCCCAGTGGGTGACTCCCATTATCACCATTTTGGCTATATCACGCGTCTTTTCTCTCACAGAAAATACATAAATGGAGCCGAGAGTGAGGCTGTGAGGCAGAAGATTGACACCCAACAAAGTTTTAGCTTATGTAGCTACAAGTTAACTAAAGAGAACCGAGGTTGGCGGGCACTTCTAACAAGAAAACAGTAACTGGGAGACTCGGCTACTCTCTGTAACATTGTCGATATGGGGCAAAGGCTGAGGTCTTCCCTGGAAGAAGCAGGAGGGAAACTGTTAACACTGATGACTCTTCTGCTACCTGTAAATCAAATAATTACTCCTAATTTTAAGCTTTAATTACATTAAAATGGATGACTTACAAAAAAATTCACCTCCCTCATGCCTAATAATCCTAAAATGTTATTTTTTACCAGGCTGTAAACATGTTTATTTATGATATGAAGTTGGCATTTTTAACATTGGATCAGAGGAGGACTGCAGTTTTTGTCACTTCAGTGTAAACTGTACATTTTGCAGCTGTAATTTGCACCTTGGTTTGGTTGGAACACATGTACACATAAAGTCATTCACCTGTCCAAGTGACTTCCAACGTCGCCACAGACACTAGCATGTATCTCCAAATCCCTGGTTGGGAAAACCACTTGGCACAAAGGACATGTTCCTTCTTTTGGCTAAAACAGAGAAATTCGATTACAGAATATTAGAAGACAGTCTGAAAGATTTTATATATATATATATATATATATATATATATATATATACATTTATAAAATGACTTACTTTTTCATAATGACAGGGTATCTCAACAACCTAAAGTAGACCAACAAAGTGTATTATTTATAAGGTTGCTTGACATCTAAAATCCCTAAAAGTAATTACACATATAATTTGCATTTACTTACCTCTGGTTCCGAATCTAGTTCTGAATCAGAAACTGTGTCTGGGGCACTGCACTGTTTTACATGTAGGGCAAGAAGCTGCAAAGGCATGATTTTAAGGCAAGTCTTGCATTCAGCCTTTGGCATGAGGCCAAATTCTTGTGCATCGTGAGGTAGAGGTGTCAGATCAAATTCTTCCTGTAAAGGAACAATGTACAGCATGGTTTTCCCCCCTGCAGATGCACTTCTTATTGTACTTCCAGTGTATCCCTCTGATTCTGGAGGAACAACAGATAAATGGCGCCGTCCATTTCCTCCTGCCAAAATTTAGAAAAAGTCAGAGGAGCTCAGCAGTGAGTAACTACACCAGCTCAATCACAAGATACAGATGAGTTATTTGTAATACCAGCTGCTTTGTACAAAAGCCATCCACCACTGATTGTTTTCATCTTTGGATATGTACTCTGAAACAAGCTGGAGACCTAAAATACAAGACAAGCACAAATTTATGTTTTTCTTAATTTACAACTAATACATATTGCTGCCTGTTGATAGTGATTGTCAACACAAATAAAATTACATTTTTATGAAAATAAGTACCTCTGCATGAGTAAAGTCTTTTGGCATTGAAAGAGTTCTTTTTCCCAGACCTGCCTGCATGTGCTGCAAGTCTTGAACAGGTGAAGGAGTTGTGTCACAATTTTTGCACAGAAGAAAAACTGTAAAGTTGAATGAGCTCCAGTGTTTGGCAATCTTTGTTGGCCTGTACATGCATGGTGAATTTCGCTTTGTCCCCCGCCTAAACAGTCCAGGAAAAGACCTGTAATTGACAGGATTTGTAAATAATAAACAGTCACTTTGACTGATGTAAACATAAGTAAAAAAAAAGTATATATATATATATATATATATATAAAGTTGATTCAAATAAAGCACTGCTCATAACATGGTAGAAGAATATTTATTTTTAAACATGATTAAACTTAGACCTGGCCATTTCTTCATCCATGCTCTGCGGCTGCCTTGAGTTCTGTCCCTGACTGTTATCTGTTCTGCTGTTGCCCAATGACTGGTTCAAAACTGACAGAATATTCTGGACAGCCTCTGTGGCCGCCTCAGCAACTTGGGGAGATCTTTGCTGTTGAGTGAAGTTGTAATGGTTAAGTACTGCATCTTATACATACGTAGGTAATAGCCCCAATATATATAGCCTCTAATGTTGGACTTTCTGTGTTCAGAAACATTATAAAAAGCTCAATTCAAACAATTATTTCTCAAATTTGTATGCTGTTGGCAAGACAAATCTTTGGCCAAGAGGAGAGACTGATATTTACCTGACTAATACTATCACCTAGGATTAACTGTGTTATATAGCCCAACATAAGAAAACTTCAGTTCAATTTGAACATACGCTTCAGTATACATTTAACATATACCTGAGTCCTTCTGCCTTGTTTATTTGGTTCTTTATCGGAAGCCATGCTGTTGCATTACTCTAAAGTGAAAAAAAATATGACTTCAGTTAAAACACAGGTTAGCTCCAGTAGCTACAAACTCTCTGACTTTGCACAGATTCCTATGGCTAATCAACAAGATTATTAATGTAGGCTGCACACGCAGGGGTGGGGGTGGGTGATATGCGCTGGTTTAGTTATGATACCGTTCCTCGCTTAGACTGGCAGGTGACCAACCAAAGCCCTGCTAAAGCATTCGGGTACTGGCTAGCACTTTGGCTAGGTAGCTAGCGATCCAACGTCTGGTTAATGCCTGACTTGGCTTTACTTAAGGGTTTTAACTCAGGGTTTCCAAGAAAATATCAAATAAACGATCAATACTCACTTTGATCCACAGTACACAGGGGAAATATGAACGTGGGTGGCGCTAAGACCCGTGAGGAACAAGAAAAATCGCGGGACAGCGTCACTTCTGGTTCCGGGTCACAAACTGTCATTCAGGATCACACTGTCCAATGGGAGAGCACTTCTCTTATGTCCCACCCACCCGAGAGGGTTGGGTCAGAATTGCAATCAAAACCTCACGCAGCGCAAAGGAGAAAGCCGAGAAGTGAAACTGCAAATCTGGTAGCGAGAGCAAAAATCTGAGCAGTGAGAATGAAACAAAGGAAAATGAAAAGAAAAATACGTGGAGTCAAACATAATAAATACAAATACTTTTATTACTCATTTTAATAAGTTGATTCGTATAGTAAGTTTCACTTTTGAAACGATTTTTTTTTTTGCAATTAATTTTTTTTCACGCACATTCTTAATTTTTGTTTGACCTTCTAAGAGTTTTTCTTGAAATTATTGGCCCAAATCTAGTCCCATACTTGAGACGACTCTCGTCGTGATTTGGCGCTTTATAAATAAACTTGAATTGAACTGAATTGAATGGGACACAAAATACAAGTTTTATCCTGTTTGCAATACTTTATTGATTATTTATATCTCCATATGGAGTCCAGCACCATTCATACATCTTCCTAGGTTTCAAGATCCAAATGAGTTGTGGTTTAGAGCCGTTCCACAGACGAGGAGTTTGGCACGAGGCTTCTCAGACAAACACAAACCCCCACATGGACCACAGGGGGTAATTTTCTCATTAATAATTAACATTTTAGAACCCTTCTGCACTCCTCACCACCTTTGGTTGGAAAGGAATCACAGCAGAAAATGAGGATCTGAAAGGAGAAAGTTCCTCCTGCAGTCAGACAGGATGTCTCAGCATCTTCTAAACTAGTGACCGTTTGAATCTGTTTCACCTCTAATAAAACTAATTTCACTCTGCTGAGTAGAATAATTACATTTGTTCACAGTGAAGATGTAGCAGGATGACTATGAACTTGTCAGATGATGAGGTTTTATCATTTCTGCATCGTACCTCAAATCATTGTTGTTTCCAAACCAGTTTTTGAGCCAAAGCCCAGCTCTTTTTCTCTGACAGAGTCAGTAACAAACACTTTTTATTTCAGACCAATGTCACACGTCTGAACTGCCAAATGACCTCTTCATGTATTTGTAGATCCTTATATCTGTATTCCTTTCAGACTGCTTCTGTTGATACATGATGTCATAGCTTGGCTTCATTTGTGTGTCTGCAAAAGGTTCATTTTAAATTCAGTAATAGATCAAAAAGCAAAATTGTTAGTATCTTAGTCTTCTTTAATCTTTAAAATAATTACACATGTTGTTTTTTAGGCTTTCATATTTCATTTAAAGAGGCCATAAATTTGTTTTTTCAATAAGTCTGTAGTCTGGCTTAAATGAATGCCTTGTGACTCGTTTTCTGAGGCAAAGGAAGCTCTAAGGGACAGAAAAAGACTTTTAGAGTCTTATTCACTATTATTCATGATATGTAAATGTCTCGCCTCTAATTGGCTAACAGCAAATCAACTCTTCCACTGTCTTCCTTCACGCTTCTGTCTTGGGTTGGTGTTTTATCTCCACAAACAACACACCTGAATGTGTTCCACCATGTTGTTGAGTTGCTAATGCTAACGGTTAGCTTCTACTAAATGAGATGCAATCATCTCTCTCTCTCTCTCTCTCTCTCTCTCTCTCTCTCTCTCTCTCTCTGTGTGTGTGATCGCCCGCTTTAAAGTTCCTTTGAAACTGGAACAAGACTCAAACTTTTAGCATAAATAAAATCTAAACACAGGAGTATAATCTGTAACATGAAACTGAAAAAAGTGAGCGCCCACTAGTGGCTGGTTGCAGTATGAGTTTTAAATCCATGTAAACAAATGGGATATTTTCTTGATGTTTTTTTGGTTTCACATGTTTATGGTGTAATGTGGTGTAATTTTATTTTCCTTTTTCTACGTATTTCACATATAAAAAATGTTCATTTGGCCTACAAAAAGAGATGAAACTTAGATTATTACCTTCAGTGAAAATAGACTAAATCTATCCCCTTTCCTGTGTATATTTTAATAGCATTAAAACACATGACTGTGGTGTTTCTTGTGTTTTACACTGAAACTCCAAAAAAGTTGCTAGAATATTTGTTAAATATTCCAAAAGGACCCATTAAAATTCAAACACACCCATCCACACTTCTAGAACTGACCCGTGTCACAACGTGAATTCGTTTTCCCGTCTGTTTTCAAACACCCACAGTTTGATTCCCTCCATTCGTTTCTTGAAGAGCTGCTTAATGGTCTTCTTCTTTTCCGAGGAGATTGCATGGACACCTTGGAAGGGTCAGAACACCCAGAGAGAGCCCAGTTTAGTGTGAAGTCCATGTACTTAAATTTATCTCGCCACATTAATGAATGAAAGAAGGACTCGGTTGGGGAAATGGAGGGTAAAGAATGAGGAGAGGAAACGGCGAGACAGGAACAGTTTAAAATTCACCAGAATACATTTAGCTTCCTATTACATTTACTGGTGTTTTATGTGTATACATGACTACATTTTATTTATCTGGGAGTGGAAATCTGCCACTTTCCTTTCACTGTCAGAGCACATTTCTGTGGAAACTTCACACGTCTGCATCAGAACACCGTGACTGTAAGGAGTCACCAACAACAAAACAAGTCTTATCACACAGACTGGAATTCTAACTGTCTCAACACTCAGTCTCATAAAAACAAACAAAAACAAAAAACAATTGCACAAACCTGAATAGTAGCAGGGATACAAGTTAGTCAACACAATTACTTATTAAAAATGATTAAAAGTAATAGGAAGATCTGTTTTTGGCATGCGGTGTTGCAATTGGTAGCACAGTTTCCTTGCAGCACGAAGGTTGCAGGTTCAAAACCCAGCTGCAGCCTTTCTACATGAAGTTAGAATGCTCCCATCATGGGTTTTCTCTAGGGACTCCGACTTCTTCTCATCGAACAAAAACATGCATGTTTAGAGTAACTGTTACTCCACAGCTGTACATACGACTATGTCTGGTTGTTTGTCGTTGTGTAACCCTGTGTGTGATGAAGTTGTAGATCCTCCACCAGAGGGCAGTAGACATATGTAGGCTTTAATATGGTTGGGTTAGAGAAGGTTGTTGACGAAAGTACTAATCATAATTCTCCACCCAGACACTCAAAAGTAGACATATTTTGTACTTTATGTCTTAAGTTATAATAGTCCAATGTTCTATACCAAACACGTTTGTGAAGTTCTTTATCCCTCTCACATGAAGCAATCTCAGCAGTTTTATTCTGGGCATTTTCAGTACCTTCCAGAATGAGCCATTTCTGAAATCTGTAACTTTAACCCTCACACTGTCCTACTGGGTGTGACCCCGCGAGGAAAGTTGACCATTGAGCAGGGTTGATGGTTTATCCCTTGGGTCCATGTGGCAGGGGTGAGGTGGTGCTCACTCCTCACCCCTGCCACATGGACCTCAAGGGATAAACCATCAACCCTGCTACATGGTCAACTTTCCTCGCGGGAAGAAAACAGTCAGGAGCTGGCCATGCCTACCTACCCCCTGCTCAGGCTGCTATGAGATGAGAAGCTCCAATATCTGGGAGGAGTTCAGAGTGGAGCTGCTTCTCCACCAGTATCAATAGGTGAGAGTAGGCTCTATGCATATTTCCACATTTGTGACATCACAAATGGGGACTTTTTAAAATAGCAAACTTTAGGCATATACTTCCTGTCATCTGAAACTCTGATGTGGCTCACTTGTAGTTCCTGCTGCAACGGTCCCGCACCCCCACACCGCGTAGGACTTACAAGGATTCATTCCTACTGGAGAACACTGCACATGTATTGAGTTAATGAGTATTCCACACCTTTAAAGCAAACACAGAGAAGATGGATGGTCAGGCTTTTTTCCACATTTGTAGTGTTTATAGAGGCAGCAGAGACCCGCATGGTGCCACAAGATGACACAATGATGGTCTATAAGTCATCATACTGTAGACGTAAATCTGTTGCTAAACAACCAGTGCCTGGTTCCAGGGTATGCTTTCAGCGTTCTTTATGAATGAATGGTCCCGATACACCTGTATACACCTCAGATACACCAGAACACCGTTAGTCAAAGAGAACACAAGTAAACACAAAATGTAGTGTTGAAATGATGGTTTTTATTATTTAGGGAGGGAACCAAATCCAAACCCACACTGCCCTGTGTGATAAATGTCCCCATTTTTTATTATGATATTTTAATCTGCTTTTTAAAACTTTGTTCTATTTAAGCTCCTTGTGGTTTTAATCCCGAGAGGCGCTATATAAAAATGTGTTTCTTCTTCTTCTGCCGCTGCTGTATGTTCAAATACTCTCACCATGTTTATTTTGAATCTGATATATAAAACAACACCCAGGGGTGTGAGACATGTGTGTGAGACATGTGTGTGAGACATGTGTGTGAGACATGTGTGTGAGACATGTGTGTGAGACATGTGTGTGAGACATGTGTGTGAGACATGTGTGTGAGACATGTGTGTGAGACATGTGTGTGTAAGAACGCTGGGAGAGAATCTTTTCAATCCAAAATGCATGAACACTCAAACTTAAGCGAAACAGAATTTCCAAACCTTATTTATCATTTCCCAATCCCTTCCCCCTCTCTCAAGCATGTCAATAAAAAGCATGTCAATAAAAGTCATTGTGGTGTGTGAGGGCGGTGGAGCTCCGGTGTCCATAGAGCTGATCCCCTGGAGCGATGGCGGACGACACAGTCATCACCTGACAGTGTTCCTGGAAGAAAGAGGCTGTGCTCACTACAGGGAAGTCCCTCACAACCAATCCTTCATCTCATCTCTGTCCTCCTCCTTCTTCTTTTAATTCCTGTGACTGTACATGAATTATTCACCTCACTACAGGTGTGTGTGAGCTGCACTGTAATCTAAAACCAATCAAGTAACTTATAGCAGGTAGAATTTGGTTTTACGTGTGAGGACAGATTCAGATCCATCCATGCACGGATGCAGTTCCTCCTGCACGCCCCTTTAGATACTTTATCCTTCCAGAAGACCGACCGAAGGAATGACC